GCTTTGGAATGGAGGTGTAGCTCAATGGTTGAGAGTTTACCTGGCAGACACAAGGGCCTAGGTTCAATCCCTTGCACAACACTGCCCCCCCATAATAAAATACTTCATGATGTTTATGCAAGAAAAATTCCCTGAGCAAAAAGTAATTATTAGCTGTGCCTGATGCAAGGGACTGGAACCCATTTCTGTCTGAAAGCACCTACATGGTGTGCACTCCATCTTGGACCATAAATCAAGGTACAGTATACTAAATTTAATTAAGCTTCAAGGTAATCTAGTTTATCCCACTAAAAAACAAATCACTGAAATTGAATCCCAGGCAATTTAGAACCCGCTCCGCCGACCTTCCACAGCAAGCACAGCTGCTGTACAAAGGCCTGCTTCCACTTCTGGTCAGAGTATTCGTTCACTCATTTATTTTAGGACAATTCAAAAGAATTGTTAGGTAGCAGTTTTGATGTATCATGGGAGCCGCTTTAGTAAAATGTTTGCACATGATACACGCAGGGCAGTGACGGGGGACCTTTTAGAGCTTTGCACGGTAAGAGCTTGCTGCGGCAGTGTGCCTCGGGCTCGCCAGCACTGACTAGGGCACAAACACCAAACGTCCAGCGAGGTTTCCCTGCAGGAAAGAAGCCACGTTATTTTTAACTAAATATCTGTACTTTGGCACAAGGAGTAAAAACAAAATGGGAAATCCTGAGAATTCAGTAAGGGCGAATAATGTAAAGAATTTTGAAAAGTTATGTTTTGACTTATCCAAAACCAAAATAATACCAGATAAGTTAAAAAATTTCATTTTTAGGGTGGAGGCATAGCTCAGTGGCACAGTGCCTGCCTGGCCACTGTGAGGTCCTGAGTTTGATTCCCAGTATGAAAAAAAAAAAATCTGATGTTTATTCCTAAAAACATTTCACATATTACTGCCATGAATTAAAAAATTCCTTTGGTTTTCAAAATAACCGTATTTCAAATGCTTTTACAGGACACTACTACGTGAGCTGACAAAACACTATGTACAGTCTGAAGACTTTTTCAAGTATATTAACTTTCCTCTAATTGCGAACTGTTACTGAAGTTATGTAAGAGAATGTCCTTGGTTCTTAGGAAATACACACTAAGCATTTCAGAAGGAAAGGGGATAGTGTATGCAACTTATTTTCAAATAGTTCAGCAAAAATGCGCTTAAAAAAAAGCTTTTAAGGGCTAAGTAGTGAACCCACAGCCACAAGTCAAAGGGCTCTCCACCACTGAGCTACACACCACCCAGCCCGTGAAAGCACACTCTGCACATGGGAGGTATCAGCGGTAAATATGGACAATGGCGTGCAAGTTGTTTCTATAAGTTCTGCATTTTTTATATAAAGTCATTTCTAAAAATGTGCTGGGTGCGGTGGCACACACCTATCAACCTAGCACTCAAATTTGAGGTAGGAGGATTGCAGAAAGTTTGAGGCCAACGTGGGCCATATAGTGAATTCAAGGCCAGCCTGAACTGCCCGAGATGCTGTGTCCAAAAAAACAAAAACACAACAAAAGTTTAAATAAATAAACTTTTTTTTTTTTTTTTTTTTTTGCAGAACCGGGGATTGAACTCAGGCCCTTGTGCTTGGCAGGGAAGCGCTTATTCCACTGAGCCATCTTCCCGGCCCCAATAAATAAACTCTTAACGGAAAAAGTAACAGGAAAGAATATATTCAAAACTGTCCTAACAAAAAACAAGATCATACCGGACCAAGTTCAAGCAAGGTATTACTGGGGCAAATGGAGTAAGATACTCAAAAATCATGCTAACAATATATATAGGACCAACAAGCAAGACTGTAGCCAGCATTAAAAAGAAACATGCAGGGGCTGGCGAGATGGCTCAGTGGTCTAAAGCACCTACTTAGAACAAGCTAAGCTAAACAAAAAGAAACATGCAAGCCACATATGCAGCACTAGTTTTAAAAAGTGAAATTAATATCAATATATCTTATTTAGCCAATGTCCAAAACCCTCGTTTCAATGTAATCAACATAAAATTGAGATATTTTAATTTTCCCACACTATCTTCAAAATCTGTTGTATATTCTACACCTTACAGTGCATTACAGTTTACATTTTTTTTTTTTTTTTAAGATGTGACCCTCTTGCCTCAGCTTCCTGAGTGCTGGACCTCTATGTGTGCAGCACCACGCCCAACTACACCGCAATTTAGAAGGTATATTATAAAGAGAAATACATGGTGGTTTGCATTTAGATTTCATAAACTGGACAGCTAAAAATGTTGATTAGCAACAGGCTAGATGGTGCAGTCCTAGAACCCCACTTATTCAGGAGGCTGAGGGATGATCCTAAGTTCAAGGCTGTTCTGGGTTCTTGTTAGCAAGAGCTTTTCAAAACACAATTTGGAAAAAGGAGGGGGGAGGGTAGCTCAGTGCTCCCGATTCAACCTACAGTACAAAACAAATTCACAACACAAGTTGTTTTCAGGTTAAAAGCTTTCCAAGGGGTCGGGGAGATAGCTCAGTGGAATAAGCACTTGCCTGGCAAGCGCAAAGGGCCTGAGTTCAATCCCTGATTCTGCCAAAAATAAATAAAGGCTTTCCAATCACTATTTTAAAATGTAAGCTTCTATTAAATTTTAATTAAAATTAAATAAAATAATTCACTCTTCAACAACACTAGCCATATTCCACACAACCAGGGTACATGCCCACACTATGAAGACCGCCCTGCTATGCGTGGTAACAAACTGCTTACACAAAAGAAGGACCTGGTTGATTAAACAGTTATGACACAGCATACCAAACTGTGTCTCCCAATTCCCCGTACCAGCCTTCAGAAATACCCCCAAAAGGTCAGGTGTAGTGGTGCACACCAGTAATTCAGCACTGTGAGGCTGGGGTAGGAAAAGAACTGCTGCAGGTTCAAGGCTACCTGAACTATAAAGACCGAGACCCTAGTTTTAAAAAACTAAGCAAGCCTCTTCCTCTCCTCTTCCTCAGTTTGGGGTTGTAGTTTTTTAAAATGGACAATCTGGCCTTCCCTTCAGATGTGGAAAACTCAAGTTCTGGCTCTGAGAAGCCTCATCTTCCACTGTGTAGTGGACACATGACTTCAGCACAAACACTTCTTTTGATTCCCACATATGAGCGCCAACACACTAGAACTTGTCTTGGATTTAAGAGAGGAAGTGACCCTTGAGTGCAGAGGTGGGTCTTTTTTCTTTTTAAACAGGTGTAAGATTAATTTAGTCAACACCAAGCAACACTAAAGATTCGCCAATCAATAGTTCTGTGCCAAGCAACTTGATCAGGGATTTGGCCAGAATCCCTCTGGCTAATCTCAATAAGGGCCTTCCCAAAGATATCCTGATTTAGGCCATTCTCATCTAAATTAAGGCTTATGCAATCCTTTGCCTAGCAGCAAATAAACAAAATCAAACTTATATACAGTACATGTGAACAAAACTCTGCCAGCCTGACCAAAAAAACAAAACAAAAACAAACAACAACAACAACAAAACCACTGGAAGGATTAGCCTAGTGGAAGCAAAAACAGTTTTCAAAAAAATATAAGTAATCATAAAACAAAAAGCATTTTGCAAAACCGTTACTATTACTACCTAGTTTAGGCAGACTTTTAATCCACAACTAATTCTGATTGCTATTTTTATTTCTCTGTAGGTAGGAATTGACACATTTTTTAACAGTGATGAAGCCTTTCTTGTGAATTTGCCTGTACCTGAAGTTTCTCACCTCCTGGGAAACAACGTGAACGCTCTCTGACATGCTCTCTCACATCCATCCTCATACTTGGTTGCATTTTACGAACACAATCTTTCTCCTCGTTCCCTTCCCACCCTGCATCTGTATGTAGCTGCTTTTCTCACAGCATCTTATCTAGCATCATAAATACAGCCCTAGCCATAGTGTGGAAACTAAAATAATCTAAAAGTCGTTCATACGAATATTAACTATATTTTTACTTAAAACGTAGCCCTTTTCCCTCAGTCATAAAGGTTTAAGCAGGATCAATACGAAGGTTTTAAAGCATTCCATCAGAAGTGTTTTATTAGATTTCTTTTACCCGTGGAAATATTCGCACAATCTGTAGAAATGAACATTCCAAGTTGGTGTTTTTATTAAAAAGTTCTCAGGCCGCGATTATTTAATCAAACCCAGCCTCGTGTCTCTGTAAAATCAGCTAAACACGAAACCAACCGTGATTTTTAAATACAGGGCATCAGACACAAGATCTAAACTACACCAGAAACACATTCCAGCCCGGCATTTCCAGCACTACTACGAGAGGGCAGGAAAAAAAGTCCCGCGTCTTCTTGGGCGACCAGGGCTGCAGACCGCGCCGCAGAGCCCGACCCCGGAGGCCCAACACTCGGCGGCGCGGGAGATCTCGGGGCACCCCGAGACTCGGACTCGGGAAAGTACCATTTCAGGAGTTGCTACCACGCAGTCCCGGGTCCGCTGCCGTCTGGCTGAACCCCGAAAGGAGCCAACGCAAACCTCCGACCCGAGAACGGGGAGCGGCTCCCTCTTCCCTCGCCGCGGCACCGCCCCGCTTCCCGCCGCCCGCCTAGGGCCGGAGCCGCGGAACTGCATCCCACCGGGCCCACAAAGGCTGCACGGCGCCGAGGCTGGCGCGGGGCGGCTGCGGGGCTCACGGCAGCGGCGCACACCGTCCCCGGGGAGGGCGGAGCG